TGTTGGCTAGTAGGTTTTTAGATCCTAATATTAGACTGTATTTGTCGGCGCCGATCTCGGTAACGTCGGTGTGGTTGTCGGAACCGTCGGTGTGGTGTTCGGTTTCTCTAGCTGTAGTGTTCTTCATTTTTTGACTGTTTTTCGTCCTTTCAAAGTGTGTGTGAGAGTGAAGGGTATTTTTGCCTTTTAGTTTTTTAAAATGATGTTTTGGATTTTTTTAAATACTACTTATTGGTCAAAGGCCAAAGTTCAAATACGGTTTCTTTTGATGGCCATTAACACGTTTTTTTGCTCAATTTCACTTAGTATATAATCGTTTTGATTTCCAATTTCACACCAACGGGGAAGGTAAGGGGAAAGTGTCGTTTGGATAAGTACTACCACTTAGCAAACGAGCATGGCCACGGATATCGAGCCGCATGGAAGCTGGTTCAACTTGATTCAATGTTCGGTTTTCTCCGTTCGGCCGTCGAGAAGATACCCGTCGGGAGTTTAGAAATCAGCGTTGACCTCGACCCGATTCAACCAATCTGCGACGCCATCTCCGGACAGGATGATATCACCGAGGATAGTGTAGAGCATTGGTTAAGAAATTCATGGTAGAGAATGGATGCAAAGCTTTCCACATGGTCTTTGAATTCGATTTTTTTTTGGCAAAATTAACATTGTCTTTGATGCAGCATAAGGTTTAATATTACTGAGAAAAGTTAATTGTGCATATGACACAATAACAGTCACAAGCACTCAAGTTGAGGAAATTTGAATTAAGTTCTTTTAAACTTTATCCTGTGCACCAAAAATGGGGATGGTACTCTATCGCATGAATAAACAAGTGGCTTAGATTGCATTATATGTACATAAGTGATTTGATTTTTGTGTTTGGTATGTTCATTGTAGAGAATGGATGCAAAGCTTTCCACATGGTGCTGTACGACGGCTCGCCTAATGTTGGTGGTGCGTGGGCTAGGGAGGCTACCAATCAGAATGCTCTAGTGATTGACTCGGTTAAGCTTGCTACGGAGCTTTTGGCTCCCAAAGGAACTTTTGTCACCAAGGTTCATGTTATATTTATAATTTTACATATTTATTATCTATATATAATTGCTTGAATTTGATTTTTTTTAGCGAAATTAACATTGGCTTTGATGCCGCATAAGGTTTAATATTACTGAGAAAA